CATATCCTCCTCCACTACCATATCCTCCTCCTTGCCCACCACTATATCCTCCCCCTTGTTTGCCACCATATCCCCCTTGTCCACTATATCCACTATTATTAGAAGAATAATTAGAACTTTGAAAGCCACTATCAGCCCTGCCTCTATTATCATTGGAAAATGAGGTGTTAGAACCACCTCCGCCACGACCGCCTCTATATCCACCTCCTCCATGCCCTCCGCTAAATTAAAAACATTGTACATTTATACATTTATTCTAAATTGTTTCATCAAATATTAAATTTGTTAATTCTGACTAACCGAGAGGTTGAAGGTCCTGCTACCCTATCTTTTTGCCATGGTGGCATTTCTGGTGGTGGCGGCTCTTGTTCATTTGCTCTTCCACCTCTGTCCGGTACATCCCCTATAATAACTGAATTAATATTACTTTTGGTATTTTTTCTGACACTTGCACTGCTTGTTTTCTCCATAAGTGCAATATCATCTCTGACTGCTAATAAATCAGCAAATGTAATATCAGGTTCTGAACTTAAAAACTTTCTAGTGTCCTCGTATCGTCTTTTTAATTCAGCTTCTTGAGATTTTATTCTGTCTGACCACTGCATATGAAGATACAAATTATTTATGTTTATGACGTACTAAATGTAAATAATTGCTCTAGTTAGATAAAGTAAGGTAATTATACTCACTAAAAAGGATTGTACGGTTACATCAAGTCGTTGAAGTAACATCATACGTCGTAATCTATATTCATCATGTAACTCTTCCTGTATATGCTGTAAATCTTTCCATTCTTTAGCTGTAAATGGATTGGTGATTAACGATTGACCTATGAGTTCACACGGAGCTGTTTTTAATACATCTTTTAATTTGCTCTCCACTCTTGCAAAAAGTTTATCAGCGGTAATATCATCTGGTGGTTTTTCAAAATTTAATGCTATTAACATATCTTTCAGATCCTTAGCCATATCACTTTCTTCCTACATTGTAGACAAAAATTTTGTTTAATTCATCAATAATTATATAATTATTTTAGGTCTACTTTAGTAAAACTTACAACATGAACATCCATGGAATTTGAAGTTTTAAGTCTTCTAGACTCTAATAATCTAGAAACCTTTAATTCTGCTCCCAGAAAATCTAACAAAATATACCTATCTTGTTGAGTTGATAATCGAGCATTAACATTACCAGACATTAATCGTTCGTTTACACATCCTAATTCTTTAAGAAAACAACTTAATTCTAATAGGAAAGAACTAGAATCATCCGCAGAGACTATTGCATGGACAGTTTCATCCATATCATTTAATATTGCTATTTCGTCTGCCAACCATGCCACAAGTTTTGTAAATTCTGGCGATTTTGGACCTAATTTTAAGGCCTCCATAAATTTATTAGAGTCTGTTAACTCCCCTTTATATCTAAATAATGGTAAATTATATCATATATTACTGATAACTTTTAATCAGATTATTTGCATTAAATACTGTATTTAATTTAAATACAATTATTTAACCGAATTATTTTGACAAGTTTTCTTTAAATATTATATAAAATTATATATTATAATATAACCTCTAATCGCTTACCCGAGTTTTTGAATTTTTTCTAATAACTTCAGTTCCATTTTAATAAAACCTTTAATTAATAAAAGATTGTAGTTATTACAAGTTACGAAATACACTAAGAAAGTAGAAATCAAGTGTATTTTCAATAAAAATAGGAATAAACTACGTACAATATTTTCCCTGCCGGATGCGCTGTCACAGTCAATCGTTCTTATCCACAGAAACTGTGGTAATACGATAGTACGTATTTAAGTAGTACATGACAACAGATGTATTTTGAGTATAAGATTAAAGTATGAAATTCTCAGAAATGATATATTTTTAATTGAAATGTTTTTAATATTGCATATTTGCATATGTATTAATATATACATTTATATAAAGGTAAAAATAAATGTATAAATAAAAATAATAAATTATAAATGTATAGAAACATAATTTATCATTCATCATAGATTAGATATAGCAGATATCTGAAAATCCATATTAGGAAATGTGAAATAAGACTACACCAGAATTATAAAAGTAAAAATATGTAGATTTTTAGTGCATTACATGTATCATACTTACAAAGTTAATCTTAAAATAATTAATAATTAACATTACAACTGTTATATACAAATACAATGATACCAAAGTAATCGTGGCAAATATTGTTTTTAAAATTATCTTAGAAGCAATGATTGCCATTTGGATCAAATAATTTATTAATACTGGCATACTTTAAATGTCGATGACTCCTATTTACCATTGCCAGTAATTTCGCATTTATATATTTCAAGTATTATACAATATTGTTTATACAATGTTAGCTAATCATGACAATAATATTGAATTTTTCACTTGTATTTAAGTACATGGACAAGATAGAAAGAACTCTTCTTAAATTGTCAGTTAAAGAATAAATTGAGGCAAATTTATTTATATATTTTGGATCAACAGATCATAAGATTAAATACTTTATTAATGCCTCTGATATAAAATTAAAAAGACAATTTTATAATTTAACACGGTAATATCTGATGCTTCAATACTCTGCACTTTTATAATGATTGAAAATTTTCATAAGCATTATGTTTATAAAACAGCTTTTAAAAAATAATTCATCAAATTTCCATAAATGAGATAAAATAATATACAAAAATACCTATCAAATTGTAATAATTGTGTACATCGGAATCCAGCTTACAAAATTCTATTTGACTGGAAAATTGTACATTTAGTTGGATGTATACATATAAATATTATTCTAATAGTATATACGTAAATTTATTTTCAATGGTGCTTTGGCAAATACATTTTCATAGCACCATAAAAGTGCAATTTCATTGTGAAGCATGTAATTTTAGCTACCCTTTGTACTACTTCACCCCACTTATACTTCAACCATGAAATGCAAAATACTAATTTTTCTGTAGAGATTTAATAACATTTTCGAATGAATAATTTTTTGCTACGCACAATAAATAAAAATATTTCCTTTCCATTCCTCTAATATTAATCTACATATTTAAGACTACTCAAGTCAGTAGCTTAATTCAGTCGTTTTTTTAAAAATGAAGTTAACGAGGCTGTACAATTTCGTAATAGTTTCTGGCTGATAAAACGAGCCAGACGGAAAATTTCTTTTATTCTTACAGTTTGTACATATCAATCTAGTAAATCTGAATTTAAAGTTTCACGCTTATCATACAATCAAATAATTAATTCTCTATATTACCTTCATAGAAGGACTCACATTTTTCTAACAGACGTAGAACTGGATTTATATTATAAGGAAACAAAGCTTTAGATACTAGTCTATCAATCGCTAAACGAAGTCTTATCAATATTGTCATGGTATCATCTAACTCTCTTCCACAACAAGACACAAACTCTGTCCAGTTTCGTTTAATATACTTCAAAAATCTCAATAAGTATAATAAGAAACATGTTTCATTACTAACAAGCAAATCTAACAGAACATCTGGATCATGAGATACAGCATGTATAAATTGTATGAATGTTAAAGTCGGACTAAGCATGTGACCAAGATCATTTTGGGGAGGTCCCCTGTAAAAAAGACCAACTGCTACATCTAAGCAACAAACCATGCCTTCAATAAGAAAATCGTCTTGATCATGAAACATTTGCACAACCCATTGTGACAAAGGCATTTCAGGATGAAATGGCATGAGAGTTTTTATGCATTGATCCAGTTGGCGTAAGACTTCTCTTATGCTTCGTTCAATAACTGCCATATCAGCATCAAGATCTTCTGCTTCTGAACCCAAAGAAGAGTCACTAGAATCGCTACGTGTCTCTTTAACAGTCACAGCAACACTTTTTAAAACTAACAACACTATTTTTTGTAGAAGAGGACGGTCACCTTCCCCAGAACCACCTCCAAATCTTCCAGAACCATGCCGATATGGCAGAGCATCTAATAATCTCCAATCTTTTACAGCGCGTACAATTAAGTGTGCAAGAGAGCAAGGCTCATCTGGAAGTACATCTTGTAATGCTAAAGTACTTCCATAACATAATACTTCGTTAAATAATCCAAGAAGATGTCTCCAAATTACACCAGGAACATTGGCATTCAAAAGTACGACCAGGTTATCTAACTGAGAATAAAACAGTTTAGTGTCAATGACAGACAAGTTAGCTTTCACAGAAATAATTGACTCCCATAAATCAAGAAATGTGATAACGACTGACTCGTGTTGAGGTGTATATGAACTAAGAATGGCATCAAATTTTGATACTAGTATAGTCCATTTAGACTCTAAAGCTTTAACACACATTGCCTTTACAGGTGTACTATCAAAACTTTCTGCATCTGAAATCGTTATGGTATTACAATGAGGTGGTTGCACTGCACTATCTGTATCCTCAAGAGGATGAACGCTACAGTCCTTATGTTCTACAACTCTTTTTACAACATCCAAAGTAAATAACATTTGACTCGGGGAATGAGTATTTACTAAAGATTGTGTTAATCTCTCTAGCCATGCTGTATCAATACTTTCTTTTGTAACAATAAAAAATGATGCAAGAACTCTACTAGCAGAAAATGATATGAATTTGTTTGTTGTACAGGATAGGTCGATTAGTTGGTCTATAATGCCATGCTCGTTTCGCGCCAGCGCATCACAAACATCTACCACTCTTCTACACATTACACCTCTTGTGTTTTGTTTGATAGCCAAATCAAACAAAAGTTGTAAAGCACTTAAGAATTCTAAAGTTTGATCAGATCCCCATTCTGATAATAATGTATACCGAAAAGTGCCATCAGTAACTTCAACTGTCGCGCTTGTAAATGGTTTACGTAAACTGCTTTCTGGTATATTGCATAAGCATTGTGCCAACAGACTGTTTTGAAGCTGTTCAACATCCGATAATGGGTCCTTCTCAACTTCATTATTTTCAATACGTTGCTTCTTCTTTGCTGGCTCCTCCATTGTGTTGCTAGGAGGACAATAGTAATAGTGCCAAAGCACCATTAGCAGCACTATTCTTGCTGCTTTCTCTTCTTGGTTTAGAATGATTTTTCATCAGGTAATCTTCATAATATATATAATGTTCCAAGGAACAAAATACCATATAAATAATGGATGCAATATAGCAAACATTAGCTTATTATGTTCATAAAAGGCATAAATGTTTCAGCAGTCACAATGTATATCTGTATCAATAAAATAAAGAATACAATTAAAATATGATAGATGCTAAATTCTTTTTATTATATAAAATAACTTTTGCAATATAATACCTCTTAGTAAATTGAATTATTAATAAAATTGATATTTATATCAAAATTTAATTAATTGATTTTTAATTAATTGAATTTACTAATTGAACTTGACTTATATATGTTATAAGTCAATATATAAATTTAAAAAATATATATTTAAAAAATTGAATAATATAACTTAAAATATATTTTCTATGATACGTTTAATATAAATATATTTAATCTATCACACATGATTCTTTTAAAACCATTATCGCTAATTGTAATACAAGTTATTAAAAGGTATTACATATGATATAAATATAAGAAAAAAATTCCTTTCTTCTTAAGATATTATATTTAATATAAAAATATTACTATCACATAAAATTAATATTTTTTACTAGGAAATACGGTACTTAATACCACAGGATATTAGAAATGAATTCTTAATTTGTATGTTTTAAGAAACTTAATATATCAATATCAATAAGGGAATAGAATATAATAATAAAACTTACAATAGTAATTAATTCTTCCTTTCATTGACTTTTTCGAATATTCATAAAATTCCAACACCTTGTGGATGTGTATACACAAATAAATGTGTGTGTATATGTTTACATATTCATTCATGCAACGATATATACGTTTATTTTTCTTCTGGTGATTAGTTAAATAATTAAAGTACGACATCCATTTAATAGTATAAAATTACATTTCTTCTCGGATATGTTCGTAAAATTCTAAGTGTAAAAGAGTTTAATACAGGTTGCACATGTAATATGTAAACCGACGCTTGCTGATACGTGAATATACACACAAAAAGATTCTCTACCGATCACTTCGGAGACAGTTGAACGTATCGATAGTATATTTGAGGGCACTTTTTCGAATTACACCGTGTTTCACTATTTTAACAGTGTAAATATATTATTGTTTGTGCCCGAAGAATTTCTTTTGACTAGGAAGTGACAGAGCACTCGTCTACTTTGCTCTGTTGCCACGTATACATGCTACCGAGTAAAAATAAGAAATACGGTTTTATATCATTTAACCGTGTATGTATCCCCATAAAACAGTTCATATCTTATGTCAAGCGGTAAAATGTTAACCTGATAACGCATAAGACACGAATTCTTCGTGTTTATTATGTATTTTTCCGATGGCATCATGCAGAGCTGCGTAACACAGTAGCTCCTCCTCGCACATTCCACAATATACTGAGTACGAATAATACGAATTACTTGAATAATTGCATTCAGATTGAGATAAAAACTCTTGAAATATTCGTTGAGCGTCTTTCCTGCTGTTTTTCGTAATAAAAGTAATCAAAATCAAAAAATCGTATAATAAATAGTCAAGATGATCGGCAACTCTGCATCGATTGCAGCGCTCCGACATTTATGCGTATTCCTATTTGTTGTATAACTTATATTGTAACCATTTATATAATGTACAATTCTAAATAATCTTTTGTTTTTTTATACAAATGAATAAGTAAAATATTCGTTTAATTCATATAGTGGTTCTATTATTATTCATATAATCATTCTTTATTCTATTGCATATATATTATATAGCCAAATTTACGTTTCCAACGCAAAAATGTTATGAAATTATGAAATATACGTTTGCATTATTAAAACAATATTATAAAATATTATTATAAATTAGTATCAATATGTGTAAAAGTTGAATCATTTAGTTAGTTCTAAAATTGTTCAACTTAAGAATAGAGCAAAATACGACAGTAATGGCGGCGCAGCTGGTTAAATGATATATTTCTTATTGGTCTATTTTGCACTAACCATAACCGTATTTACTTGTAATAAATTCAAGCAAAATTATTCTTAATAATCCTTTCTTTCATTTTTAAACAGCACAGTTGAAAGCATATGTACTCTTATTCTTTTTTATCGAACAAATGATTATTTAAATTTATGATAATAATGATCACGATTGTAAATTTAAAGGAATGTCATCTTTAACGCATATGCAGTGTTATACTGCGTTCCTGAAACTGTCACCTGGTGTTATTGTACTTACTTTGTTTTTAAATCGTAAGTTAAACAGACAATAAATTTATTAACAATATTCACATGATCTATAATTTTATTTTTTATGCATTGTAATACCAATAATTTTATTTCGATATTTATTTAAGAAGTTATCAAGATTTATATTTTTATGGAATTTATGTAAATATTGTAATTCATTCGTAATAATTAAATGAAAATTGCATTTTTCATTTAATTATTTATAAATAAATTCAAGAAATTCTAACAAATCTGATCTGATGAAGAAAGAAGATTGTCTCTGTGAACCCGCTTTGTCCTTTTATATTTTACAGAATTTGTATAGCCTATCTACATACTGAACTGTCACGGGTGCTTTCAATGACGTAGGACTGCCATATTTTTTTTCTATATGGGGCCTGCCAGGGGGTCAGCCAAATTGTTGGGGGTTTGGAGGTGGCCATGCAAGATGTTTTGTGATAATCGAATGGTGCGCATAATAAACAATTAAACCAGTATAATAGCGGGGCGCAACGTTTCGGCAGATATGCTCGAATCGCTCGGGCAAACGGTCTGGATTGGCGAAGAAAAAGCCTTTCACTCAAAACATCTTTCTCACATGCGATAAGAATTTTACGTCACAAATTCAATTCGGGGCGAGTGTGTAGTGCCGCGTCGAGGTTATACCTGAAATTGGGACAATGGGCTTTAACATTCACCTACGTTTTATCCTCCAGCTATTACATTAAATGAGTACTGTATAGTTTTGCTATGCAACACCAATTCCTTCCGCGACACGAGTTGTCTTGGTGATTTTGTTGAATTCGCTGACCGCGAATGCGGTGCCCTACCCCGTCGCACTATTTTTGTCTGTACGCTTTATTTACACGTATTTCTCTTGTTGCGTGTTTTCTTCGCCAAATATTTTGGCTATCTTTGTAGCGGTTACGTAATTTCCGACGTGAGTAATTCCGGCACCATGGCCGATGATGAATTAAATGAAACTCGATTGTTTTACACGTAGTGGCGTGTGGACATATATACCACGCAAAGTTAAAGGGAATTGATTTTTGACATTCTTTGGATAAGGGAAAGAAAGAAGTTGGATGCTTGTTGGTAATTCGCTGGTAACATGATCGGGAAACTGTTGCCGCACGATTGTAAACAAATTAATGTTTAAACAGTGAAAGTGATCCTATTTAGATATGTCTATTGGAAATTATCTTCTTAAGGTAAATGATTACTATACACTTATACTTCTGGTATATATATGTTTATATTTCTGATTTTGCGTTTTTTTTTAATGGCTTTGTATATTTGTAAATACAATAATATCTTTGAAAAACAGTAGTTTTCCAACATAAAGAAGTTGTACTCAAAATTAAATTATTAATAGTTATAAATACGCTTGTGTATAATTAAATGTAAATTTTATTAAAAATATCTTCGTTATTATATTATATCTCTTACATTACAACATTTGTTGAAATATTTAATTTTAACATATTTTAGGAATGTCATCACATCATAATGTGGTGGATTGAAATACTATTAAATAATATTGTTAAGAATGACAGAAGTAGTATCCAAAGACTTTGGTAAGGAACATCCTTATCGAAAAAGAGACATGTCAGATTCGTCGCAACACCAATATAATCAACCTCCTCCTGATATTATGCCAAAGGGGCTTGCGATCAATGGTATGTTATTAAGCATAGACTGACATATTTAATAATATTATATTGTATTCTCTAGTCATAATGTACAAATTATAGAAATAAATAAATAAATAAATAAAAGATATTTTTAATAGGCATAGGAGGAAGGTTACGCCAATTAGAAGCCCTTTTTATTGGTGGTCCTGTACAGGGAGAAGGAAGAGTAGGCCACACATTTTCTATTGAGACACTCATCGATATTTTACTTGTCTTATATGATGAATGCTGCAATTCTTCCTTACGGCGTGAAAAGACTGTCTCTGATTTTATTGAATTTGGTAGATATATATTTTGTTTTTTAAACTTTTAAGTAGTAACATTTTATTTTGACAATTTTACAATGAATATGTATTTTCATAGTAAAACCAGTAGCCACTTGCATAAAGAGTTTGCAATTGGCACGAGAGGATTTTGAGATAGTAAAAGTTATAGGTAGAGGTGCATTTGGGGAAGTATGTGTTGTAAGAATGCGTGGTTCAGACAAAGTTTTTGCAATGAAGATTTTGAACAAATGGGAAATGTTAAAGCGTGCAGAAACTGCATGCTTTAGGGAGGAACGAGATGTACTGGTGTATGGTGATCGTAGATGGATCACAAATCTTCATTATGCCTTTCAAGATGACAATAATTTGGTAATATTACGATTTATAAACAGCATTAACCCTTTGCTGATAAAGCGGTTTAAAGTAAATGACTTATATGGTCAAAACTGTTCCAGTAGTAACTATAGAAATACATTTGTCAAATTCATTACAAGATATTTGTAACATTTACTTTTAACAAAATAATTTAAAAATTAATTATTGATTTAGAATTGTTTCTGTTCATTGGTATTTGTCATTGGACACATGTAAGTTTATTTTTTGTGCCTACAAATTTCATAAGATACATGTATGGGCTCCTTGTCTGCAATGGGTTAAGGTTAATTAGTAATGTGTATATAAGAATAGAAATATTTGATATATTTTAAATAATTATATGCAGTATTTGGTCATGGATTATTACTGTGGTGGAGATCTGTTGACACTGTTAAGCAAATTCGAGGATCGCCTTCCAGAAGATATGGCACGTTTTTATATAGCTGAAATGGTGTTGGCTATAGGATCCATACATGACTTACGTTATGTGCACCGTGATATTAAACCTGATAATGTTTTGTTAGATGCAAATGGTCACATTAGATTAGCCGATTTTGGATCTTGTTTACGATTGTTTGAAGATGGCACCGTACAAAGTAATGTTGCTGTTGGTACACCAGATTATATTTCACCAGAGATATTAAGGGTAACATCTAGTTTTTGTATTACATTAAGTTATGTTAGAAGTTACTGTAAATAATCTGGAGTTGCATATTACAGGCAATGGAAGATGGACAAGGACAATATGGGCCTGAGTGTGATTGGTGGTCGTTAGGAGTATGCATGTATGAAATGCTATATGGGGAGACACCTTTTTATGCGGAATCTCTAGTCGAAACATACGGAAAAATTATGAATCATAAGGTAAATTAGTTGTAGTATAAAAACATATATATGTATTCTAATGTGTACTATACTATACATAATTTCCTATATTTTACACAATTTCAGAATTGCTTTGACTTCCCAGCAGATGATATATATGAAGTTTCTGAAGAAGCTAAGGATTTAATGAGAAAGTTAATATGTAGTTCAGAATTTAGATTAGGTCAGAATGGAATTGACGATTTTAAGGTAATATTGAAGTTCTTTAAGCTAAAATAACATAATAATCTCAATAATTTAATAACTAAAATGTATCAAATCAATGTCTAATTATACGATGTAGAAACACCCATGGTTTGACGGAGTTAACTGGGATACTCTTAGGGATAGCACTGCACCTTACATTCCTGAAGTTTCCTCGCCGACTGATACATCAAATTTTGATGTTGATGATACGGATGTCCGCAGCTCAGATGCGGTTCCGCCAGCAGCAAATTCTGCGTTTTCTGCACTTCATTTGCCTTTTGTTGGTTTCAGTTTCACGCAAGGAAGGTAATCAAAAAAGTTATCAGTATGTTATCGACGTCAGTGTGAATATGTTCTTTTAATATAATTATATATTTATAAATTATAGTTGTATATCAGATCTGGGTTGTTTGCCAGTTATAACTCAAAAAGATAAACGTGTGCAATTGCTTGAAGAAGAAAATGCACAGTTAACGAAAGCAATCGAAGATTTAAAGAATCAAGTCGGGCATTCTTTGCCAGGAATATCACCAGATTCTAATAATGCAACAAGAAAACTTCAGGACGAGATAAACACACTTACCAAACGCAATTGCGGTGAGTATAAATATTGTGACTTTCTATTTTCTTTTATTTTCAAATACAATTTACATTTTTAGAGTTAGAATCACAATTAAAGTCTATGGAAGTCCCACGAGAATTGCGCAATTTAGACAACGGCGAAATGACAAAATTACGAGAATTAGAAAAGCTAGTGCGTTCTCTTCGATTGGAAAAGGAGGAGGCTATTAAAGATAAATTAGATGCTCAAGAGAAGCTTAAACTTCAAGATAAAGAGTTAAAAGACGCGTTAACGCAACGGAAATTGGCAATGGCTGAATATACTGAAGTTACAGACAAGTTATCAGAATTAAGACAACAAAAGCAAAAGTTGTCTAGACAAGTTAGAGATAAAGAGGAAGAATTGGAAGTTGTAATGCAGAAGGTTGATAGTTTGCGGCATGATATTCGGAAAGCCGAGAAGTTACGAAGGGAACTAGAAAATCGAGTAGAGGAGGCAATGGCGGAAACGAGTAAGGAAAGAAAATTACGAGAGCGTAGCGAAGAATATTGTAAGCAAATGCAAGAAGAGACCGAAAAGATTAGACAAAGGTCTATAGGGAATGATGTAAGTGCAAATCACGCATTAGCAACGCAAGAAATCAATAGGTTAAAAGCGGAAGTGGAAAAACTTGAAGTTCAGTACAATGAAAATTTGAACCAGCTACAAGGTAGATTCAATCTTGAAATTCGTAGTCTCCAAGAACAACTGCACGAGACTGAAACAAGAAGAGATTTATTGGAAAGAGAAGTGCAATTAACAAAAGAAAAATTAGATGCTGCAAGATTGGAAAACATTACTGACAGCGAAGAGACTATAAATGAATTAAGTAGACGTCACGAGAGAGAAAAAATTATGCTAGTCGAAGAAAATAAAAAGCTTATGTTAGAACTTAACACTCTTACTGATAGTGTTAATAGAATACAAGGTGAAAGGCGACAACTGGAAGAAGAATACGAAGAGTTAAGAAATAAAAAAGAAGCTATTGCACAATGGGAAGCCCAGATTACAGAGATTATCCAATGGGTATCTGATGAAAAAGATGCCAGAGGATACTTGCAGGTTTGTTTTTATAAACGAAATCATTTGATTGGCATAACACGCTCAAAACAATTATATGTTTAGTACATACAACGACAATACGTGTTCACTTAATGATCTATTAATTTTAGGCCTTAGCTACGAAAATGACAGAAGAATTAGAGTTTTTGAAACACTCTGGTGGTGTAGGAGGTGTAGGAAGTGGTTCTGCAATGGCGGATAAGAACTGGAGGAATCGTAGATCACAGAAGCTCGATAAGATGGAGCTTTTGAATCTACAAAGTTCTTTACAAAGTGAAATACAGGCTAAACAGGCAATATCTGAAGAACTTACAAAGACTCGGTCTGATTTGATTGCTGCTCAAAAGTAATTATTTTAATCTCTTTTAGCATCTTAGTATTACTTAATCTTCTATATAGTTAAACATTTTTATTACTTCACAAATTATTAAGAGTTTCAAATAATGAAAAATTGTTGTGTTTCTGTGTACAGGGAGTTAAGAGACTTCAGACAACGGTTTGATACTCTTACACATGAGATAAAACGCAAAGAAATACAAATAAAAGAATTACAAGCAAGACTCGACACAGGCGACGGCTGTAAGTACATTTCAGTTAACAATGCTAGAAGTAATAATTCCATCAAAATTTCGTTGTTGCGTTTTTGTAAAACTTTTGTATCGACTATTATTATACAAACTGCTGCGATACACGCTATGTATGTAATTTGTAAGTGCACAGTTTTTAAGCAATGAATATATTTAATATCTTACTTATTTTTTTCGTTAATAGTATTTTCTGAAATATTTTCTTAAATTATGGCACAATTAATATAATTTATACATTTACGTTTTCATTGCTATTGTAATGAGAGTACTTAATCAATAGGTAAATACTGATTTTAACTTAACCAATATTTGTTACTTAGTGATTTTATATACTCTAAAATATAGCATTCAGATAGGATATTTGGTATTATAAGCAAACAAATTGCATGTATTCTACAAAAATTCATCGGAATTGTTATGTTACGTTTACGTTGCAAGCCAACTTATCACAGTGTTTAAATCTTGAATTAGTATTTATCATACGCATATATTAAGAAGAGTATTTATTGTTATGTATGATGTTCATTTTAAAAATCAAAACTTAACAATTCCCCTTAATCTAGTCTAGAAAGTAGTGCTTCCAAGAAGCATAGTCATTTATTCTTCCTGTATTCTGCATTTGGCCAACTAATGAATTTATATGAAATTGGTATGATTCGGTGTGTGAGCATTATTTTTTTTTTGTAAGTCTTTTCTGTAAGTACGATTAGTCAAAATATGATGAATGATACCGTTACTGAAGTTACTACTGTTTGTTACAAATCTTAGTATTTGCATTCAAGTATAATAGTACCGTAATAATGCCATACTAAAGGAATTTATTCATTTTTTAAATACATTACTCCGAATAGGCGATGTACATGTGTAAACATGCTGGTAATAATATTATTATTGTTTGAAAGGAACACAAGGCACTTGAAATTTAGTATATTATTCTTAAAATTCAACATGTATAATTTCTGAATATTCTTATATTCATAACCCATGTTCTACGAAGAAATGATTGTGTATAATGTAAAGGATAATAAGGTATATGTCCACTGTCAATATATAAGCTACCAATAATAGAGATCGTTGGTACTAGGATATCTATCCAGCATAGTAATTCGGTCCTCCGGTACGGTATGCGATTCTGATTTCTAGACTACAAAGTGCCTCTGTTTATTGGCGTAACGAGCTGTGTCTGGGGCCTCTTGTTGCTCATCTTCAAACTGTATTTGTGACAGCTGTCCTATCCAGCAAAACGTCAAGCAAATCTTCGAACATCGTTTGCACCAAACCCCAACGCATCATCGTACACCAGCCGTCGTCACCCCTACCAGTAATGCGTGCTCCCCGCGTCACGACATGTCGCTTATTAACTAGATTCGTTCCCGTCAACACATTCATCAGTCAGAATGCCGTCGCCATCGTATCGCCACCTGGTAAATGAAGTGGCAGCAGAGAAAACGCGATTTTGGTTGACTGGTCGGCTGGATTGCTAATTCAATAAGCACAGAGCTGTGTTTTACAACTTATTGTCTAAATATCCGCCATACAATGCTAAAAACACTGAACATGTTACGAATACAACAGTGCAACAAATTTTGAAATCGCTTACTCAGCAAGAAATGAATCTCTATTATTAAACGTGAAAGATTCATAACTTGGAACTTTTATATGTATGGAGACTAGAAAAAATCACACTACGTATTGTGTTTCTTTCGATTATAAATTGTGAGAATTATAAAAGATCGCAAATTTCAAAAACTGTTATAGATACGAAAGATATATCTATTAAATTATTTTAGACTCAAAACATAGCTCTATGTACATTTTTATGTCAATTACCATCAAGAACAACTATGTGTTTCTTTGTATGTTGAAAATAATTGTTCCTCAATTAAGGATAGCGTTAGTAGTTCTTCATCGTTTTTAGGTGATGGTTGTCCTTTGTTAATCTTAGTAGCTGTTAATTACTCGGTTTTTGTAATTAAATAATTAACAGGTATGTTGTGCCTGAATGTTTTCGCCTTTAAATTGTTTGATCTGATTGACTTTGATACATTTTATTATCTGCTTGCTATTTCTGCTGGTGAACGATAAAATATCAATCCCTACATACACAATAACGATCACTATTTTAACAGAGTTTGTGTGATGCAAGTTGCAGTGGAGTGATTATATTAAAATGTTTTAGAAGGGTGTCATAAAGTCTATGATTAAAACTCAAGTTTCCGTTAAGAGGAAAACATAATTTTCTTACTATCTACAAGTTTACTTGATTGTGTATCTTAATGGACAGTAGATCAAATTTCTATATTTTGTTTTTTTCATTAATTTAACAATATAAACAAAATTACAATCATTCCAAATTTCAAATACATCTCCTAATTGTATTATTACCTGTTTAATATTTTTTTCTTGTATTTCAGTTTTAGAACGTCCTACATCCCAAATGTCATACTTGGAACATTTTTTGAAAGAAACTGCGAGCAGTACACGTCATGGAAGTGCAGATAGTGTTGAGGCTGATATTGAGGATAATCGTGCACCAAGTATTTCTAGCAGCAAAAGTAATTTGTCCGAGCTCAGCATTGTAAGTACTTTCACCTAATATAAATATCACGTTGAATATTAAAATATTACAACTTGCATGATTATTAAAATTTAGGATCCAACATCACCATTATCCCATGAGCTCCTAAATAAGTCATCAGCACCACATGGGCAATCCAATCTTCAGCCTAAACCAAAATCTCACCAATTTCTAGTAAGAACATTCTCAGCGCCTACAAAATGTAATCATTGCACTTCATTGATGGTGGGTTTAACGAGACAAGGAGTAGTATGCGAAGTTTGTGGTTTCGCATGTCATATGCCTTGTTGCGATAAGGTGCCACCAATGTGTCCTGTGCCTCATGACCAAAGTAAGCTTATAAAATGTTATTTCATTTAAACCTTTAATCGTACAATGAGAGGTAATAATAAAATATTCTTTACAGCAAAACGACCATTGGGTATTGATCCCACGCGAGGAATAGGTACAGCTTACGAAGGATATGTTAAAGTGCCAAAAATGGGTGGAGTGAAAAAGGGTTGGGTTCGTCAGTTCGTGGTTGTTTGCGACTTCAAATTATTTCTTTATGACATTTCACCCGATCGTAATGCATTACCATCTGTGTCTGTGTCTCAAGTATTAGATATGCGAGACGAAGAATTCAGTGTTAGTTCTGTTCGAGATTCGGATGTCATACATGCTACGAAAAAAGACATTCCATGCATATTTAGGGTAAGTTTTAATGTTGTATCATTGTTGCGTTTATTTGTTTATTTATATCTATAACAGCAGTTGTTATGAACGTTTTTAGATAACCACATCCCTCCTAGAACCACCTGGTTTAAGAAATCACACATTGATGCTTGCGGACACTGAAAGTGAAAAAACAAAATGGGTAGTTGCTTTAAGTGAATTGCATAGAATACTGAAGAAAAACAATCTTCCTAATACAACGGTAAGTTGTACACATAGTGCTTACATACTGAATATCTATAACAATTTTGCTATATTATTTGTTTGTGCATAGATTTTTAGAGCAAAAGAATTATTAGATAATACATTGGCGCTCATTAAAAATGTGATGTCAGGAGCAATTATTGATCCAGATCGTCTAGTCATTGGCACAGAAGAAGGCCTCTTCTGTTTAGATTTAGATCGTAGTGGTATGTTGTACTTCTATTTATGTGAATACAAAACAAAAAATTACATATTATTATCACTATTTTATAAATTTTGTAAATTATATTTTTAGAAATTGCAAGAGTTGGAGAAGGCAAGAAAATATACTTACTGGAATATGTAACGGAAGAACAATTAATTGTAGTTTTAAGTGGAAAACAACGTCATGTACGGCTGGTCCCAGTACGTGCATTGGATGGAGATGAAGTTGAATGGATTAAAGTTGCAGAGACAAAAGGATGTATTACTTTAACAACAGGAGTAGTACGACGTACTCCATTAACATATTGTTTATGCGTTGCCATAAAGAAACAGGTAACAAATCTTTCTTAGATTACCATTTTATATTACCATTATTGTCTTCCTTCTAATTCATTCTTTTCTAAAATCTTATAATTAAAATTAGTTCATTATAAATAGTAGTTTATTGTAGACACTATATTAAGTATTACAACTTAACTCGATATGATCATTACTTTTATTTTAAACGTCATCATTTGTAACGTAGAATGCATCACAAGTGATCATCTACGAAATAACGCGTACGAAAACACGTCATAAACGTATACGTGAATTGATGTTACCGTGTCACGCACAAACCCTGCAAGTACTCTCTGAAGGTCGTTTTTGTGTTGGATATCCTTCTGGGTTTTCTATCTACAGCATTTTAGGAGACCATCACCCGATTTGTGAGTATTAGTATGATAGAAATATACAAAGAATTTATATAAAATATGAACAATTGTTCTAATTATTTGTTCTTTGCAATTTAGCATTGGTCCATTCTGAGAATACGCTCTTAGGTTTTCTCACGTATAGCGCTGTGGATGCTTTACGTTGTATCGAATTACCGCGTGGTGAATTCTTATTAGTCTTCCATACATTGGCAGTATACGTCGACAGCCAAGGTAGAAAGAATAGAGATCGTGAAATTATGTATCCCGCTGTTCCTACGGCAGTTAGTAAGTACATTTATCGGATACTATTTCTGAGAATCATATTGTTAATTTTACATGTTCAATGTATTATATTACAATAATTTATACTTTAGGTTATTGCGAAGGTTACTTACTAGTTTATAGTGATACACACATCGATGTGTTTGACTGTACAACCGGAGATTGGTTGCAAACACTAAACGTAAAACGAGCACGACCACTGAATACTTCAGGTTCTTTAACGTCTTGCATAATTAATGACATGCCACACGTTATTTTCCTGAGCAACTTACATCAACGTGAGTACAGTTCAACTACAAATAAATCATATAAATCGTATAATGTTAAATATAATGTTATCAAACATGGTGTAAATTCTTTATGATATGATAGGAGAATTACTCAATTTAACACCACTAGACGCAAGCGGTAGACAAATGACAAGACCACGAAGGAGATTTTCATTGAGAGAAGGAAACAGAGCTGTTCGTCCCACGGATAGACGCTCCAAAATGATATCAGCGCCGACGAACTTCAATCATATCAGTCATGTGGGTCCAGATAATGGGATACAGGTGAGTAGTTTAGTTTATCATTATATTTCAGTGAACTTTTTAGTAATGTACTTACACACGCATTTTGTTATATCCACCTGACATTTTATTTTAGATACAACGATTACTAGATTTGGCTACTACACTTGAAACAACTGATCAACAGCACAGTGGTCATCATAGTAGTTCTCATCTTCACAGCAGTCAACAAAGAGTAAGAAATCCATTGAGTTACTATGTTTACATTTTTATATAATACTTTTTTCGAACATTGTACAGAATGGTATATTTATTTAGTTATACGGACCTACACTTCAATCAGCGAGCAAGCCAGCACCATTGCCACCCAGGCACCCTCCATCTGACACACGACGTCTTAGTTCTCATATATCCAGAAATTCGGGATACTCGCCGCATAATGGTATCTACTAACTTAATGTCATGTTTCATTTCTCTGGTGTATATTTACAACAAATAATTTATACTTGTTCGATGATTTATTTCAGGCTCAACATCGTCTCGAAGAGGACCGGCACCACCACGACCAACTGCAACTCCACCTTCGTTACCGCGTACCCCTGTGGACCAAGTTGATTCAGAATCGGTACACCTACGAACTCACACTCCACTTTCTCTTGGCAGTATCGCATCTTTACACGACAAGGTATTTACATTCATATACAAGATATTTATCTCTATATACTGTACTTTTAATCTTTTAGAATTTATAGAGGAATATAAATTTATTGTGAAAATTTTCGTGTTTATTCTTATTTTAGTAATAGATTTTCCGTAAATTGTTTTATCATGTTAGAACGTGGGAAAGTTCATTTTTAAAAAAGTATTGTCTTCAAAAATAAATAAAATATTTCGTTACTTTAGGAACATACTTCTGGCGGAAGCCCAAGACATTCAATAGCTTCAAACAACAGTTCAAATCCGTCAACGCCTCCAAGTCCAGCTCACGATCATGGTTCATCCTCATACGACTCGTAAAAAAATTATTTAACATTTCTAATAACACGGATAAGTTACTGTAATCATTTGCATTACCTGAATGATAGAATTACAGTATCTATGATAATATCTTTATACAAGAATGATGTCTGTGCTTGATCCTTTCAGCTGAAAAATTTTTACGGTTCTCTTTCTTTTTTTAATTTTGTGCAATACGTTCTTTTCTAAATATTGTGCATTATATTGCATTGCATTACAAACGTACAACTAAAAGCATAATACTCCTACATATAATTGAATAAACAATTTATAAGTTGCACATTTTAAAATACTTAGTTCAATATAATGTTCTGATGAGTAACATTATTTTAAGTAGAATTTTAATAACGTATTGCAATTTCTATTTGACTTTCATAAATTTATGCATAATAAGTTGTATACTAAAGAAAAAAATTTATAAGTATAATATAATGATAAATTATTGTACATAATTTATGCGTTTTGAAAGATCAATGAGCCAACTTCACGATGCCATAATTATCAAAATAGGTGTCGTTTATTTTTTTCCTTTTAGTAAATTTTTATGGAAATTTCATTTCGCATAATACAAATCTTTAATCGTTACGACTATTCTTAAATTAATAAGAACCGGAATCTCAGTCAAATTATCTAGCAATAAAAAAAGAATTAATCTACTTAATCTATTGTACCTACTTTTGAATCTAGGTATAAAAAGAATAGTTTCAAGTAAATTATATATTCAATCATTCGTAGCGGCATAAACGAATTTGGAGGACGTGAATCGATTTGATTGCCTTATGACTAAATATTTTTTATTATGTCATAATGCAGTGAAGTGCATCATATTATTCAGCGTGTGAATAGTAGGATAATCGTGCAATGTATCGGAATCTCCAGCTGATAATAGGTAGTCATTTAAGTAAGGTGGCTATAAACAACTTTTACACAACGTACGAGTATTATATTGACAGTAACAAAACGATGTTGAACATTGATTTGTCCTTACTGCAACGAAAACTGTGTTTTCCCTCACAAATATTACCGCTTTCTCTATCTTAGTCGATAGGTATCATTGCGAAACTATTAATTCATTTTTTAAAAATTACATTTACATCCTAACGGTAACAGTGTGCAAATACAATGCATGACTGAGAAAGAACAATATTGAGAACCTGACGATTACTTTAAATTAAATAATGTGAAATTTCTACACCAGCGTATTCGCAACAATTTTAATAAGGCAGAACTATAAATGCCATATGATAACTGCAGCATTTTTTATTACTTTTATATTAAAAATGGTAAAAAAAAGTAACAAATCCAAAAAAAGGTTTCACATTATTTTAAAATTAATAGGAATTGCATGACAATTAATTGGTTGCATTCAGTTTGATTTTATAGGCGTAAGATTAGAATGAACAGAACATAGAGAAAAAGAAAATACAATTACCAGAAGAACGCAAACACGATAACAAGTTTTATATGTTTCAATGTACAAAATATACATTTTTCATGTATGTATATTTATAAAGATTTGCTAACTAGACTGAGTGAAAAGAGTTGATAGAACAAGATAACTATCTCAGGATTCTATGCCAGTAGTTGGAATACGAAATAAGATGTAACGGTTAAGAATCCCGAGTTGTTTGATCATATGAAACAGTATGGGGTTCGAAGATTGTTCTTCGTCTTGAAATTTTTGGACATGTCGTACACAGTCAAACAAGAGAAGCCAACAGTTACACAATATCAATCAAGTTTTTTAAGAAAAAAAATTAGAATCTAATCTTGCATTTGAATTTTCATATATTTATAACGAATTTTAAAAAGACAAGTTTAGGAGCTTTCGAAATTTTATGGAATATTAAAAATGTTACTGGTAGAAATATCAAGGCACCTACATTCCGTATAATTCTATTTTATTTTCATGAAACATTATTAGTATTTCTCAAACATGAATTTCCAACTCTTTAAACGGTCGTCATTGATAGGCACACAGACAGTTGAATGTAACGTAACTATAAAAGAAGTGTAATTTCGAAAAAAAAAGAAAAAAAGCAAGGTAAAACTGCAACCACGAAACGTCTTCGACAGATTTGTGTAATGGTAACAAATTTACGAGAATATATTATAAATAAAGTATATATCGACTGCAATAGATTTGACATTCTTATATTTAAAAAAAATATATATAGACTATACCGTTAATAGAAGAAACGTGTTAATGTTATCAAACAAAGAATGTAATAGTACAGGCATTGCTGTCCGTATTGGAGTAAAATAAAAGTTAAAACTGAGTTCTAGGATCTATTCTAGAAGTGTAATCGAGGTGTGTTTATAAATTATAGTATTGTACGTGTTACATTGTACTTATCGACGGAATTCAATAATTTGCCTATACCTTCCGCCATTGTTACTTAAGGGTTCTAAAATCAAAGACGCATCTATTTGTCTTATGTTGCCTTGTCTTTGAACCGAGTCTTATCTATAGATAATAACATACGAAGAAATAGTCACTTTGTATAGCATTCATTTTATATTTTTGTAAATAATTCAATTTATAAATAAGCTCGCAATTTCAACTTGATTTTAGACCCTTCGATTCTGTTTGTTTTCGTTTTTCTTTTGCGTGCACATAATACAGAACACCAACATTTTGAGTACATCTTATAATATGTAAAAAAAAAATCTGCGCTATAATTATTTCTTTCTTTTACTCGTAATATAAAGAAATGTACGACCGGCATTCTGCACGAGAATAGAATGATCATATGTATACATACATAGATTGTATGATTTAATAGTTTTACCTTTTTTTATGAACTGTTAGAGTACTTTTTGTAACAATCAATAATGATTTATGTATCCCATTGGTCTAGTACCAGTGCATGTAATGACCTGACTATTAATCATCGTTTTTTTTCTAGCAACTTAGTTTAGTGTATTCTATATTATGAACTTATTTATAACTAATATGTGCATTACTTACCATATTTATTAAAAGCAATTGCAAGCAATTATTCGCATTTTAAATGAAGGATTGTATTTCATTGTAAATTATTGAAAACACTGCGCTGATACGAAAGAAAGAAGACCAAACTTTTATGTTTATAAGATATTCTCTTAAAACGCATCTGTTTTGTAGATTTTGTAGTATTTATATTCTTTATGTTTTACACATTTTGTTTTATGCAGAATCTTTCACAGTAGAAAAAAGTATATATACATTTCTTTTTAATATTATCTATTGATACATTAAGAAATAACTTAATTTTCGTGTGTAAAGGAAATATATTAATAAATTGACAAAAAGCTTGTGCGTATATTTCTTGTCTTTAAAATAGATAATACAAATTATTTGTAAACCTTTTGTAATAAAAAGTGTGTTGGACAACTGGTTTTAGGTGTAATTGCAATGAGTAAGTCAGTGTAATTACTTATTAGAATGTTTATTGCTTAAAAAGAAATCATTAACGATAAGAGGAAACTCCCTAGTGAAGAAACAAACTAATCATCATTGTAAAAAAGATTATTTAGAAAGTTACAGAAGCATTTGTACTTATACTGTATATTGTGCTTTGTATACTTCATTATTTTATTATGCTACACTGTCTTCTATGTTGAGAAAGTAACTTTTATGACATTATATTAATACGTAAGTATCAGTAACGAATATAAAACCTAATATACTCGGATCTATACATATGGGTAACAATTAATTTTTATTTTTAATATCTTTCTTGTAAATATTAATAAGAAAAATACATTAAGTGTATCGTACAGAAGCACATGAATTTAAATAACTCTAGTATTCCAAACTTAAAGTTTTATTTCAAAAAGAGATTGTGTATAATTTAGTTAATAAAACAAATATGTACTTAACACTTTCAATGCTGAGATTTTTTTTATAGAAGACACAATGGAAAAATTATTTTGAATATAACTGTTGTATACATTTGAGGTTTTCTAGAAATCATCCTGTGAAAGAGATGTTCACGCGATAACATTCTATATAACAGATTATTTATGATTGATAACATCTATTTCAATTGTATGCAACATGTGAATTTTTAATGATATTTATCAAAGTTAAAATAAAAACAAGATTAGATTGGCACTACTTGTTGCTGCATTTTTACGTTATAATTTATGCATATGAAATATCTAATAGAATTTAGTTTCTTTTCAAATATTGATATCATATTCAAATTGCTTATGAATTTCTTCTTAACGTGTAACATTATAAATTTGACATCAACAACAGTTTTAGCAACATCAGTAATTCTTTCTGTATACTGTGAATGTTTGACAAAAAAACTCATTCAATTACAAACACGGCAAAAGCCTCTGAAATTATAATGCTTCTGCGTTTAATCCTATGGTGTGCAAAATTCAAGAGCACTTTTACAAAATTTGACATTCATATGGTGTATAATCGTTGACTCAGAACATCTTAATTCTAAAATTATAAACGTGTTCCTTTGTTTATAAAAGTACTTATAGAAACCATATTTTTTTTGTTAAATCATACATGAAGAATGTAACTTCATTATTTATTAAGTATGAATGTCAATATTAAATTCATTATTCATTTAAACTTCCTAACAATAGTAATGGCAGCTGTACAGAGAAGTGTCGCATGTATAAATAATATAAAGTAAATCGAATTGATAAAATATTTGGAAGAAAAATCGTAGAATATTTTCTAACGTATAATGAATAATTTAAATGAGTAATAATATAATTTCCACTACCGAGGTAATGTATTCTAATGTGCCTTCATGAATATTAGTTTTTAAATGCAGGTTAAAATATAAAACATTAATATAAATCACTAGCATATATAAAATCTCAGCCACAGAAAATTTTTTGAGAGAGTACTGTGATCGACCAATAAATAAATAAATTCCAGTCTCTTTATGGCTTTGATTTATACATAATTATCTATCAATTATGTCTATTAAACTTCGACTGTATAATACAACAGAGAACACACGCGACATTGTATACTGCCGTCCAATGTTTAGAAGACGACATGTTGCAAGAAAGGCAATTCTTTCAGTACTATTAATCACCAGTGGAATTCAGCAGTACAATATTAAATTTGTACCTCATCTTGACGGTTCTGTTTCTTGGATTCCATGATCCTGGCGATATATATTATATATATATAATATATATTATAGATATATATTATATATATATATATGTATATACATATATATATATATATATATGTATATATATATGTATATATACATATATATATATATACTCATTTTGAAGATAATCTTCCTTTACTTGTTGCATAAATTTTCTAGAAGGTATAACTCCTACGACATTTTAAACCTCCTCTTTCCATAGAATTAGCCATATGTTACAAGGAGGTATCAGATGGTGGTGTACTTTCATGATAGCTGACTTGGCTCAAAGAATGTTGTAGCGCATCAGGTGTTAACCACTCTTTTGGTAAACAGCGTTGAAGGAATGGTACACAAGAACTAAAATATGCAAGACGATTTACCCAGCCAGGTATCTCCCGGCCACATAAAATCTACGATACAAGATAAAAGAAAGTCTTATTAGCATTAATTAAACAGAGAATTATTATGTCATAATTATATGTACACACAAGAGTAAGTTGGCTACTAAAGTGGTTACAATTTTTATTCATTAGATGATATCGATCACCCCTAAAATCTTTTCCTAATTCGTTAACAATCCTGCTCACATCTTCTTCTGTGAAGTCTGTATATCCAATATGTACAGACTGCCTATAATAAAATAAAAGCACTGTCAAATCTAACATAATAACTTCAAAACTTTACATGCAAAAAGGAAAACTCGCCTATATCTAAATTGCTCCCCTAATTCTTCTGCAGCTCGAGGTGTGATTTCAAAAATACCAGAAATTGGCTTTGAGTGTCCTCCATATGCATATTCTATTAATAGATTAATGTAATGAATCTTCAATAAGATAAACTTTGAACTTCTACAAAGTAATAATTTCATACATTCTTTTATTGATAAATATTTTTTACCTGTTCCATAAATTTCTACTCCAGAATGGAACACACCTAATCCTATAGGTGTGGTATATTCATTTATCCAATACTGAAATAAAGAATATAATTGTTCAATGTTATATACCTGTAAAAATAATTTAATTTTGTTCTCTTACCATATCATAAACATTAAGAGTTATTGGCTCGCGAGCCATTTTTGGTAGTAGTTCTTCGCTATCTTGGGGGTATCCCAGACAACTGGGAAAGGAGAGATTACAGCTAAGACCTGATGAAAACATCATAGAGAAACTTGTACTTGAAGAGATGAACAGCAGCACTACGTATGTTCCAACGCACCTAATAAGCAAATACATATGCTATATACTGGATCTAAAATAAGCACATAGCCATGAATTACTACAGAAACAAAAAATTATAAATATTAATTACTACTTTTTCTTAAAGCTATGGCTCAAGATTGATCGCATTATATAATGCGAGACAAAAAGGGAATATAAAATTAATTCTATGAAACCTGAAAAATCTACAAAATAAATTAATAAACAATTTCTCACAAGATTATTACTCAATTAATAATTCATATATAATTCCATATTAAAGTATCACCTAATTGTGTATAATGACTACATGCTTATTCTATAAAAAATTTATTACAATACATAAGATGCACAATACTAAATACATTCTACTAATAAAAACATTGAAATTTATAGAAATGAAACAATGAACTGATAAACATTTTCCTTGTTATTAATTACTAGATTTCAAACAGTAATGATATTACAGTCAAAACATAAACAAAGATTGTTGTGATTAAATTTTATAACTCTGTGTTACCCTATTGATGCTAGCAAACTATACAATGCGGAACATTAGCGTATAATGTAGAAAGTTAATTAATAATACGATATGAATAAGAAGCTAAGAATGATCACATTTCACAACATAAGGATAAAAAAGGTATAATATGAATCATTGGGTCAAAGATATTGTTGAGAAGGAAAAAGAAAAGTAGTTTTTGTTACCTAAACAAAAATTTCGATTTCAATACATCCTGATTTCTTTATGTTTCGTTTTATAAAATAGTACAGACACGTCAAACTTGAAACTTTCTTCAAAGATTTGTTGATGTTAAACAATGTATGAAATCATAATTCCATTTGAAGCGTATTTTCGATAGATTAATAACTGACTTCTTATTCAATTATTACAATATAGGGAAAAATAACAAAACTTTAAAAATCTTTTTTAAATATCAAGCTCTTCTAAAAATTATTCCGAAATAGAATACATTGTGTCAGCAAGAACTCGCCTATCCACTCGAAGCATGTCAAATCAACAGATTTTTCTTGAAGATTCGCTTATGCATTCCAAACAATAATTGTTTATTTTTTAATTATAAACTTAATTAATTTTACATAACAATTGCTAACATTAAAGATTTTTTGAAGGAATTTACACAAATTATTTTTTTAACTAGAAACAATTGCCATTTGTCTAGTGACATTAAGCAAATTTCTCTAGATGATATAAGTATAAAATACTTTTTATTTGTGTAAATTACATTATAAATGCAATTAAATATGTCATTTTTAAATTTGTATTTCAATGTTTTAAGTGAT